TTTTTTTTTTTAAGATTTTTTTAATTTATTTATTTGAGACAGAGAGAATGAGAGAGAGAGAGCACATGAGAGGGGGGAGGGTCAGAGGCAGAAGCGGGCTCCCTGCTGCGGGACTCGATCCAGGGACTCCAGGATCATGACCTGAGCCGAAGGCAGTCGCTTAACCAACTGAGCCACCCAGGCGCCCTCTCTGATTATTTTCTTAAGACAGATTTCTGGAAGTAGGGATACTAGTTCTAACAGTATCCACATTTAAAAAATTTTATTAAGTTTTTTATTTTAACTCAATTATAGTTAACATACAGTGTTATATTAGTTTCAGGTATAAAATACAATGATCCAACAATTCCATACATTACTCAGTGCTAATCAAGATAAGTGTACTCTTAACCTCTTTCACCTATCTCATCTATCCCCCCCACCCATCTCCCCTCAGGTAACTATCAGTTTGTTTTCTAGAGTTGAGTGTTTCTTGGTTTGTCTCTTATTTCCCCCTTTGTTCATTTGTTTTGTTTCTTAATTTCCACATGTGAGTGAAATTATATGGTATTTCTCTTTCTGTGACTGACTTATTTCACTTAGCATTATACTCTCTAGCTCCAACCATGTTGTTGCAGATGGCAAGATTTCATTCTTTTCTATGGCTGAGTAATATTCTAGTGTGTGTGTGTGTGTGTGTGTGTATCTTTATCTTCTTTATCGATTCATCTGTTGATGGATACTTGGGTTGTTTCCATCATTTGGCTATTATAAATAATGCTGCAATAAACATAGGGGCACATATATCTTTTCAAATTAGTGTTTTTGCATTCTTTGGGTAAATACCCAGTAGTGGGATTACTGGATTGTAGGGTAGTTCTATTTTTAATTTTTTGAGGAACCTCCATACTGTCTTCCACAATGACTGCACCAGTTTGCATTTCTACCAACAGTGTACGAAGATTCCTTTTTCTCCACATCCTGGCCAACACTTGTTGTTTCTTGTGTTTTTGATCTTCGCCATTCTGACAGGTATAAGGTGATATCGCATGGTAGTTTTGATTCACATTTCCTTGATGATTAGTGATGTTGAGCATCTTTTCATGTGTCTGTTTGGCCATCTGTAGGTTTTCTTTGGTGAAATGTCTATTCATGTCTTCTGCCCATTTCTTAATTAGATTATTTGGGGTTTCTTTGGTGTTCAGTTGTATGAATGGTACGCACATTTTTAAGGTTCTTTTTTTTTTCTCCTGGGATTACCTCTTTTTTTTTAAATTTTATTATGTTATGTTAATCACCATACATTACATCATTAGTTTTTGATGTAGTGTTCCATGATTCATTTTTAAGGTTCTTAATGAATATTGCTACGTTGCTTTTAAAGAGTGGTAGGTCAAAAATTGTACACATTTAAAAAAATTTTTTAAAGATTTTATTTATTAATTTGAGAGGGAGAGGGAGAGAGAATTTGAAACAGACTCTGCACTGAGTGCAGAGCCCTGTGTGGGGCTTGATCCCATGACTGCAAGATCACGACATGAGCTGAAACCAAGAGTCGGACACTTAATGACTGAGCCACCCAGTCTCCCCCATTTTTAATATTTTTTAAATGAAAATGGCCATAATATTTTCCAGTAAAGCTGTTCAGTTTATCTTTGCAGTTATAGTGATGGGCAATGTTCCCATCAACACATATTTACTCTTTTAATTTTAATTTAACCGGGAAAAAATTTAAGTAAGGGTCATGGCTTCTGCCAATGGAAAGACTTTGCAAAACCCTTCCACATTTTGCTCATTTTAAATATGCTTCTCTCGTTTTTTTTAACCAGTGTATACTTTGTCTCAGACTTATAGTTTCCTGCAATGCACAACAATAAAAGTAGATGTGATATGATAATGACCATTTTCCCACCACTTTTCTTGTGCTATATAAATAAGTATGCTACCAAACTTTATTATACTATATTATATAATGCTGTATGTGCCACAGTCTACTGTGTCTGATACTCTATTATGAACAGAGAAGTCTTCAAGTAGTATTTCGCTTATAAGATCTCATAAACTTCATAAAAACCCAGCATGTTTCATAAGCAGTCATTATCACAGCTGGCCTTTGAAAGAAATGTCAAGATGTTACAATACTAAGGAAAACTGGAAAACAGAGGCCTTAAATACATGAAGCCTGGTGTTGCCACTGATAGCAAGGTTGAATATTTTTTTGTAAGGGCTTTTGTTTTAATTAATTAATTAATTAATTTTTCTTGTAAGGTCTTTTAAAATGAGATAGTTTTCCCAATGGCTATGTATTATGAAGAAAACTAGTATCTGACATTTAAAATTCCAGAATCTTCAGTTTTGGACAATTATTTATACTGGTTTAACAATGGCTCAGTCCCAAACAATGGGAAGATGCATGTGCATTATCTTACTATAAACTGAAGTTCTGATTGGTTATAATAGTATCACAAAATGATTTTAGCCCTGTTCTGTAGGTTATGTCACAGGTAAACAATTCTGGAGCTGTCAGAGTTTAAGGGACAGACTCTCTGGCCTCGTCTGCCTCCTTTGCTTTACTTACTGTTCTGCCTCTTGAAACAGTTGTACAGAACACGGACTGATTTTCGTAGCGCCACTTCCAAATTAGGCAGTGCTCTGGAAGGGAAGCTACTTCAAACAATAAAATTGATGAATGGCCAAAGTCTGCTATTTTGGTCCTTAGTTTCATTTTCTCCATTTCATAGCTGTCCCTCTCATGGTTTCATTTTTAATTGGAATTTGACTTTGTATCTCAAGTGGGGATAAAAAACATTTAGTTGATGACTTATAACAAATAACTTCTCTGAAATCAGGGGGTTACCAAGCATCAAAAGGACTTAAAGAGTTTATGTGAAAAAGAAAAAAAACAGAAAAAAAAACCCCACCAAAAAACCTAGGCGTGCCCTCCCACGCCATAGTATACAATCCTGCTGCAATAAATGCTGGTGAAGTTGAGAGTGGATAATATTCACTGTATATTTCTGCATAGCACTCTTTTTTGTTTACATTCCAGGGAAAGGCATTTGCCAGTTTGATAAAGACCAGTCTGTTTTCAGGGCTCAGCTCCCGATTTCCTAAGCCATAGGCTGAATAGAATCAGCTTATAAAGACTTGCTTCTCTAAAATGAGTCTCAGTGGTTGATTTGTGGGTCCTACAGAGATGACTGGTCAACAGAGGAGCCAGGCCTTTTCCCCACCGTGTGCTGGTTCTAGGAACCCAAATGAGCTTTTTCCCAGTATTGACTGGGTTTGGCATTTTCTTCTGTGCCTGGGAACCCATGGCAGGTCTTTGATGCCAGTTGGCCCACAACAAGCTGAGCAGCCTATTTATAATCGGAGACTTTGGTGAGCTGATTTTGAAACCTCTTCTTCAGGACCATGGAAGTCATAAGTTCTTTGCTTCAGAGATTTGGTGGGCTAGAAGAGGGTGCAACATACTCCCAAACTTGCGTTACACATGCCTGTAAGAGACTTACAAACTTCTTGGGGCGCCTGGGTGGCTCAGTCGGTTAAGCGACTGCCTTCGGCTCAGGTCATGATCCTGGAGTCCCGGGATCGAGTCCCACATCGGGCTCCCTGCTCGGCGGGGAGTCTGCTTCTCCCTCTGACCCTCCCCCCTCTCATTCTCTCTCTCTCAAATAAATAAATAAAATCTTAAAAAAATAAAAAAATAAAAATAAAAAAATAAAAACACATCTTGGGGCGCCTGGGTGGCTCAGTCGGTTAAGCGACTGCCTTCGGCTCAGGTCATGATCCTGGAGTCCCGGGATCGAGTCCCGCATCGGGCTCCCTGCTCGGCAGGGAGTCTGCTTCTCCCTCTGACCCTCCTCCCTCTCATGCTCTCTGTCTCTCATTCTCTCTCTCACAAATAAATAAAAAATTAAAAAAAAAAAAAGAGAGACTTACAAACTTCTCTAATGTAGGAAAATTCCATGCTATGTAAAACTATTTCCTACATGAAAATTCTATACTTTCTTTTAAAAATGTTTAGTTTGTTAGCCAAAATGGTCTTCATGGTGCTCAATGGGCAGGACCCCAGGTATACATAATAAAAGGGAAGAAAGAGGCAGATATGATTCAGGTTATCTCCTTACAACCCTACATTCCACACCGTTTGAGTTTTCTGAACATTTTATGATATCGTATTCCAGTCTACATTTGCAAAAACGGAGTCACGAAACGAGGAGGAGTAGGAAAAGTCACTATTATCTAAAATATTAAAATACAGAGTAAGAGGGATTTTCCAAGATGCTTGCCTCATTTTTCCACTTTGCTTTATTTGTAAGGAAATAATATATGTGTTTTTGCTTTTCTGGAGGAGGATATAAGTTGATATGTTCTATTCTTATACAAATAATTTCAGTGAAGGTTTCTGGTATTTGATGTATAATGCAATATCTATGTCCAAAGATGTTATATGCCAAGAGTAAAATGTGTAAAACCAATCCTTTGCTCTGTTGGAAAATAACTTTTTATCCTTTCTCTTATGTACCTCCCAAAGGAATGTATGCTTGGCTAGTCCAGGACAGTTACCTTTGATCAAATAAATTGTTATTGATATTTATCATAGAGCATGAGTACTTCAACCTCTGGTCCCTGTTTACAAAATGTTATAGTTCTTACAAGAAAAGCACATAATTGCCAGCAACAGAGTCACTTATTCCCAATTAACATAATAGCACCTGTCCAAGGTACTCAAGCTTTATCTAAACACCCAAAGTGAAATTTGAAAAGTGAAAAAATAACATGTGTAGCTAAAACCTTAAAGACTGGTATGAATTATCCAAACACATGAGAAATTAGTAAAACACTGACCAAAAAGATGGTGGAGGCAGGCTAGGAAATTGGTTGGTATCAAATACATCTGCTGTCAAATCCTAGTACGGCCTTAGAGTACTCATTGTTCAACCTCCAGCACGTCATTTTGTGTCTCTATAGCTCAGCTTCCTCACTTATTAAATGAGCACAATAATAGCTCCTGCTTATGGTGATTGAAACAATTAAATGAGATAGTATATGAACAGGGCCTGGCACATTGCCTAAGTATTTTAGATACTTTACCAATTTCCATTTTACTAATTTACTCCCATTTTATTAATCTCCATTCTGTGCTTCAGAGAGGTATCTTCTGTGGGTCTACATTTACTTGTTAATACTTTGGGTACATTACAAAGTATTAAGAATTGCAAAGATGAAAGGTAGAATGAAATCCACAGGGAACCTGCAGTCTAGTTGGAGAGACCAGGAGGGGAAACTAAGTACAATATGGTGTGTTAAGTTATTTACAGAGCTCTACACAGAATACCATGGGCCCATATATGAGGGTCACTGAAGTTCATTGAGTGAGAAGGCAGCAGTTCCGTCAGTGAAGATTTAAAAGAGTTAGTGGCTCCTTCATAAGATCTTAAAGAATAGGTAGGACTTGGTCAGTTGAAGAAAAAGGGAAACCATTTTCAAGCGGAGAGAACAATGTATTCAGGGGGGAAAGGGTGAGTAAGTAGGTGAGAGATCTTGGTACATTTAGGGAACTAAACATAGTTGAGTGTAATTGGTGACAGGTTCTGATGTGGAAGGTGGAAGGGGATGAAGCTGGAGAGTAAAATCCTGAGCAGCCTGGAAATGATGCTAAGGATGCGGAAGGCAAAGGGGTGCCATTTGTTATTTTAAGGAGAGGAATGCTGCATAAACAGATTTGGATTTTTAATATATAACCCTGGCAGCATGGTGGAAATTACTTCACCCTTGGTCAGGATTCATGCATTTTCCATAATTGCTCTGCCTCAGTGATTTCTGAAAGGACCTCATATGAATTGGAAATGCTTTTTGTATTACCCATTTATTCATTCACCAGACATTTCTTGAGAAATTACTATGTTGTATTTTTGACATTGGCTAGATTCTGAAGATGAAAATCTTTGCTCTTAAGGAGTTCACAGTGTAACGGGAGAGATAGTAACAAAAAATGACAAAATAGCACTGCCAGGGACCCTCAGCCTAGAATGAGGAGGGCAGGGGAAGGGAAAGGAAGAGGAGGTTCAGGGAAGTATTCATCTTGGGGTCCTCCAATAGTCCTTGTAATTGGAGTTCCAAAGTGGGATGTTATAGAGAGGAAAAAAGTTCGCTCTGTGCCCCAGTTATGCTCAGAGACCATTGCTTCCTGATGTTTAGCAAGAATGGGGCTCATTAATTCCATAAAAGCTTCAGTAAGATTTGTGTGTGTATTAGAAAAGTGAAATGGAGAACTGAATCAACTGACTTTATTTAAATGTCTGAGTCATTGGTTTATTCCTTCTTTGATTTATTCAGCAAACATTCATTGAGTAATATGTGCTAGGAGCAGCTAGATATAGAGTTAGAAAGGCAAAAGAGCCTGACCACTGGACTTCCCTTCGTGTGCAAAGACATAGTATGAGATTGTTTAAAAGGTATTCCTTAGGGCGCCTGGGTGGCTCAGATGGTTAGGCGTCTGCCTTCGGCTCAGGTCATGATCTCAGGGTCCTGGGATCGAGTCCCGCATCGGGTTCCCTGCTCAGTGCAGAGCCTGCTTCTCCCTCTCCCTCTGCCACTCCCTCTGCTTGTGCTCTTCTGTCTATCTCTCTGTCAAGTAAATAAAATTTAAAAGGTATTCCTTAGAATGACAAAGCTGTGTTCCTTAAAATCCACTCTTCAAAATATAAGGACAGAATGACCACTAAAATCTATAAAGGTAAAGAAGATCTTTCACTACTACTTTTGAGGTAGATCTTAGACATTCCTATTCCAAGAAAAACAATTCTAACTCTGTATGGTAACAGTGTTAGCTAGACTTATTGTGCTGATCAGGTTGCAATATATACAAATACTGAATCATTATGTTGTACACCTGAAACTAATATATGTCAATTATACCTCAATTTGGAGCACTGGGTGTTATACGCAAACAATGAATCATGGAACACTACATCAAAAACTAATGATGTAATGTATGGTGATTAACATAACATAATAAAATAAAATTTAAAAAAGTAAAGAATAAATACCTGTCATTTAAGATAAATAAATGGCCATTTCATAAGGCATTTCTAATGTTGGCTTTCCAGTGTATATGGTCAGTATTTGCTGACAAAGACTCAAAGAAAGTACACAAACTGAAGCTTTTCTTTCTTTCTTTCTTTTTTTTTTTGGAGGAGTCTAAAATTCTTTTTTAAATAGCAGTAAAACACACATAACATAAAATTTGCCATTTAAGCCATTTTATGTGTATAGTTCAGTCACATTAAGTACATGCACATTGCCGTGCAACCATGCAACCATCACCACAATCCATTCTGGAACCTCTTCATCTCCTCAAATTAGAATCTGTATTCATTAAACAATAACAATTGCCTCTCCTACCAGCCCCTGGAAACCACCACTGACTTTCAGTCTCTATGAATTTGACTCTTCTAGATACCTCATGTAGGTAGACTCATATGCTATTTGCTGGGGTTGGGGGGGGGTTGTGCCTGGTTTATTTACTTAGCATAATGTCTTCAAGGTTCATCCATGTTATAACTCTATTATATTGTATCAGGAATCGCAGAACCCTGGTGCAGGTGCTGTTGAAAACAGTATGGTGGTTTCTCAAAAAATTCAACGTAGAATTAGCATTTGATGCAGCTGTTCCACTTCTGGATATACCCCTCCCAAAAAAATTCAAAGCGGCAGGAACTTGGATAGATATTTGTACACCCAGGCTCATAGCAGCATTATTCACAGTAGCCAAAAAGTGGAAACAACCCAAATATCCATCAGTGGATGAATAAATAAATAAATAAAATGTAGTGTATACATATGAAGTATTATTCAACCAAAATTCCTCTTAAACAATTATCTTTTTTAGTTCTCTGTAAATGCAGTTTGGAAGCTAATAATTAGAGTGCCGGAATTTATTCACCTTTCTGTTTCCAATAAAAAGAAGCAGTTTCTATGGCATGCGAGGCCACCAGGCTTAAAGATAATAGGCAAGAGACTGAGTTACTACTTTTCTTCATTTTATTAGTCTGTCGCACACACACACACACACACACACATACTACAAACACATATGCACACACACAAAAAGCTTTGCAGACCTTTTTGGAGGCACTTAACTTGACTACAAGTTCAAATGAAAAAAAAATATAAAGAAATTTTTTGTTTCAAATCTTTATTTTCTAGTTTCCTACCACAGGCAATGTATCCCCTGTGGTTGATGCTGCATGAGCCAATCTAGTTTGTTCACCTTCAGCATCCTAGGATGCTAAAAGGAGCATTTCTTTTGCAACTTCCTTTAGCATATTATTCTATTTATAGGAGGATGTTTTCAAATCATGTTGTTGTTTCCTTGGTTTTTTCTTTTTGCTCTTGATTCTATAATTGGTTTGAAAAAGTTAGAATAGGAGGGGTAGGTGGGCCAAGGAGTCTTGTGCCCTGCCCAAGGAGACCATAATAAAGGATGTTTGCAAACCACTCTTCTAGAGCCAGGCTTCTCAAACGGTAATGTGTTTATGAAGCATTTCTGGATCTTGTGAAAATGAATATTTTGACTTAGTAGGGTTTGGGTGGGGCCTGAGAGTCTCTGGTAAGCTCCAGGTGACGCTGATGCTGTTGGTCCTTTGTCAACACCGAACAGCAACTCTGTAGAGGCCCGTCTTCTTGCCAGGTTCAGAAAATATGTGTAGTGTATAGTGCTTAAGCAAGATAGCAGAATGGTCATGGACCCCAGAGCTGTGTGTTATATGCTAAATGCTTTTAAGCAGGCTATGTAGCTTCTCTATAACTTATTTCCCCTCATTTGTAAAATTAGAATAATGGGTACTTCCCTCATTGGCATTATTATTTTTAACCACTCTGTTTCAAATTCCTTCTCAACTCTACTGTCTTTGACAAGAGACATAATTGCAAAAAAAAAAAAAAAAGTGCAAAAAAATCTGGCTGCATTCAAGGGGTGACAAATTGTTCCTGGTTTTCCTGAGACAATTCTAGTTTTAGCACTGAAAGTCCCAGGTCCTGGGAGTCCATCATTCTTGGGCAATTTAGTTAGGATGCTTGTTCCTCGGAGCTGAATTCCCAGTTGGTCTTGAGAAATGACTCTCAGAGGTGGCTTGCTCAACATGATAATGAGTGAGGGAAATGCTTGTTTATTTTAGTAGAACTTCATTGTTGGTGGCTTTATTTTTAACCCCTTTTTTGTTTGGTTGGTTTTTGCAGTGTTCAAAAGCTGAATGAGTTTCTCTTGAGTGATGAGATTGGTGAGGATAGCTGGCGAACTGGTGAAGGTTCTCTTCCTTTTGAGTCCTGTAAGAAACACACTGGAGTGGTAAGTGTTTTTTCTTATTATTGAAGCTGTGAATAGGTAACAGCCCCAAGATTTGATGATTGTAAATGAGTGCAATTAGAAGAAATTGTAAGCTTCACTTTTAACCTATGTAAAAAATTGCCACCTTCTTCTACAAAAACTTCAATAGTCTAAAATTCATAAACAGTTGTATAAGGTTTGTCATTAGAAATCATCAAAGAATTATTCCAAGAGGGACAGCACATGTTCAATTGAAAAAAAAGTTAAAAGGTTTTCTGCCCCAAACTTTATATGAAAATAATGCTAAATAAGCTTAACAACTCCCACACCATATTCTTTTAATACCTCTTAGCTGTATTATACTTTTTAGTTTAAAAAGTGCTTTTGATGCATTATATCTTTTGATTCACTTAATATAACATTATATCACCTTATTTTTATCTTCCAACTGAATATATTGAGTCTGTGTATTTTGTGGCTTAAATAAAGTCATAAACTTAGTAAGCAGCAGAGCCAGAATTAAAACCTGAGTCTTATAACTCCTGTTCCAGTTTATTCATCCATTACCCAAATATTTACTCAATATCTACATACATCCTGGAAACATGTTCAATATTATTTTGTCATGTATTACATGTAATATGACATGGACCATATATTTGCCTGTGTTTCTAGACTTATTGGCTACTCTGTACTTCAGGGATAAGCTATGAACAAGGCAAACAAGCTCCTCTTTGTCACAGTTAGCTTTTTTAAGGCAGGAGTCAGATGATAAACAAGTTTTAAAAAGTGAGATAATTTCCTTTGGGAAGAAAATAAAATAGGGGTATGAGAGAGTGACTGGGATACTGGAAGCTGGGTGATCATTTCCCAGAAAGGCCCCCTCTGAAGAGCTGGCATTTGGGCTGAGACCTGAATGAAGAGTACATACCTGTTCAGCAAAGATTGGGGGAAGAAAGCATTTCAAGCAGAGAAACAGGAGATGCAAAAACCCTGAGGTGGGAATGAATTTGGTGTGCTCAAGGAACAGAGAAACACTTTGGTTGAAGCCTGGTGAAGAATGGAGAGATAAGACAAGGTAAGAACAAGGATTGAGGGTCTGGATTGTATTGACATGCAATAGGAAACCATAGGAGGGTTTTAAAGCAGGGACTGATAGAATTTTGGTTATCTATCTATCTATCTATCTATCTATCCGTGAAGCTTGAACTTGGGACCCTGAGATCAAGACCTGAGCTGAGATCAAGAGTTGGATGTTTAATGACTGAGCCACCCAGGCTCCCCAATTTTCGTTATATTTTAAAAGATCACTTTGACTACTGGGCTGAGTAATCAGTGGGAACAAGAGTAGAACAGATAGATCAGTAAGAAGATTATTACAATAACATAGGCAAGAAATGACGATGGTTAGAATTAGTTTTTGTGACAGTTGCAGTGGACATTATGAGAAAGTAATCTAATTCAGTGTACTTTTTTTTTGGTTGAGTTGATAAAGACTTGCTGATAGACTGGATAGGGAGACTAAGATGTGAGTGGACTGGTGTTGAGGTAGAATCAAGAGGTATATTTGCACATGACAATTTTGAGATATTCATTGACATCTAAGAAGAGAAGTCAGCATTGGAGATGTAAGTTTAAGAGTCATTAGCCATTAGATATTTAAATTAATGAGACTGGATCACATCACTTTTTTGAAAGGTGTGTCTGAAAAATTCTGAAAGAAGTCTTTAAAATTAATATGTATGTTTCATAACAAAAAAAATAGAAAGATACTATTCTAAAGTGGGTCATGTTATAATTAGTATTAGTTATTTGTGTTAATATCAGACAAAAATATGAATATATTTACTATTTTCATACCCGAACAAAATTACACATGCAATCTTCTGACTGGAATTAATTGAGGCTTGGAAAGTCTTCCAGGAAGTCAATCTATATTAAATTTTTCTCTACATCATGTCTAAAACTGCTAAAAATAGTTGAGATGAGCACTCAACTATATTTAGATTTGCTGTTTTCTTCTGCTTTTCTGGAGTTTTACTTTACTTTTTGTTATTTTATTGAGCCAGTGTGATTTTGGTTGAGAAGGAGATACCACCCATGCATGTATACACTGGAGTAACCATGCCTCAAAGTGCTAGTTTGCTATTGTGTGGACATGGACACAAAGACAAGAATACATTATAGAGTGTCTATACTTTGAGGCAGCAGGAAGGTCAAGTACTTGATTAGAACCAGTGTTGTCATCCTTTGGATTATAAGAGATTACCAAAGAATTTATGAGGTCATCTTTCAGAGATGTGGGGATGAGCAGAGTGGATGACCTCAAGAATGAGGATGTAGGAGGTCAAGTTTGTGGAGTTAGGGAAATCTGAAGAACCTTTTGTATGAGATGAGGGATAGAAGAAAAATTGAACTGAGAAAAGGTTTTTGAAAGGAAAAAAGAATCCTCTTCGAATGCATTCAATATCTTCAGGGTTATTGAAACCAGACTGGACTTCTGATGTCTTTCAGGGTCATTCATCACTGCTGATGGGCCAAACCACAAACGACAAACTTTTTAAAATGGAATGAAAAAAGCTGTGTGTTTGAAAATAACACTAATGGAAACTTCTTCTTGAGAGCTTAAGATGCTATGTATTCTGTAAAAGCTTAGAGTTAAGTGGTTTTGGCTGTAGAATCTCCATGGAGAATTAGTGACATTCTAGAGCCAAAGTCTCTTCAAATTACATCTGTGGAACTCCGACTCAAATCTCTGTCAACACATCTCCTTCTCCAACCCTCTTATTAGTTTTGTGAAGAACATGACGTCATTCCTTTTAGACCTCTGGGGCAATAGTACTATAGAATTAAAGACTCTAGAAGACAGAGGATTTATGTAAAGACATAGACCCATCTTGTGAGGAAGATACACTTAGCTTGAAGGATACCGACTTTCCACATCTCATGCAACATACTTCCAGGGTCATCTGTGACATTGTGAAAAGAAAAACAGAACTAAAATTTCAGGAACACTCTCTCTATTTTTTTTTTTAAGTTAAAATGCATTCAATATTTTCTATGCGACAGAACCACTGCTAGTTCTTCTCAGCACCTTTTTAATCTGTGTATTTATTTGCACATAGCCTAGCAATGTACTATTTGATAATTTGATGTTCTGTTGATATAACAATTGATGGAATTTGGAAAAGCAATATCTTGTTTGGATTAAATTACTGATTATTTGAGTACATTTCTAATTCCCATAGTAGAATTCAGTGGATTTTTCAAAAAGCTAAACCTGCAATTCCAGGCCAAAAGAAAAAAAAAGTTTCACAGTTCTAGAATACTTTGCTTTTATAGGTAATTTAATAGTTTTAAAGTATATTATTACTTAGCCTTCATAAAATCTATAAGGTATTTAAGTAAGACAGATAATTATTTTTGTTGAAACACTTGTTCACTAGATTCCTTGCACAAATTTCGAGATTATGAATTTTTCTATATTAGAGGTTTACAGAGCTGAATTTTCTACCTTCTCTTTAGTCATCTGTCTCTACTGCATGACACTGAAGTCAAATTTAGAGAATAACAAATTTCTATTTCTATGACCTAACTTAAGTTCCTTTTAAGTATGAGAAAACTGTCAAACTTCAGCTAACATCCTCTTTATAATGGATGCTTTAGTCCTTTGACCAGGAACAATGCTATAACATTTGAGAAAGACTAGATCATTTTATTATACTTACATCAGCATTATATGTTTATATACTTATGAAATAATATATATACATATTTGGACCAAAGAAAATCTGATATCCTTATGCTTTTTCTCACTCCACAGTGGATCCTTGGGTGATGTGTAGCCCAATCTGAGTTCTGTGAATGTGTGAGATTCAAAATCCTCACGATTCAAAGGGTGATCAAAATGTACTGTTGGAACATTTACAAGCTCAATGGCTTCCCAAGTAGATTCTAGTTTAATCTGAGTTAGTCTGCTTGTCTTTTGACATACGTGCTGTTTTTTACTGCCTGAGTATATTTATCGGGAGAGCTATAGGAGGATTATCCAAAACCTAGTTTGGGGCTCTGCACTTTCAATTCCATCTGTTGCAAGTACCACATCTTTGTATTTTCATTTTTCTTAAAAGGCTTGTGAATTAGGTTTAAAATGATAGCTTAAGGCTTTTTGTTATTATTTGCTTTTTTTTTTTTTTGGAGAAGCCATCGAAAGAATTAAAATATCACATTCACTTTGCTTCTTTCTTTTTCTTGGAATTTCAAGTGGAGAAGTAACAATATGAGTTAATGTTCAGTAAAACATCTTTTTTTTTTCCATAAAGCTTCAACTTGTGTTTTTTTCCATTTGGAATGCAGCAGCCGAAAACTATAAACAGGAAGCAGCCTGGAAGATATCACCTGGACAGCTGTGAGCAATCCACCCAGCGTCTACGTCCTGTAGAGACCGAGGATATTGCAATAAAGGTTGTTTTATTTCCCGAATTCTTGCATGGCTAGAAACATTTATGTTACTCTTTTATGGTGACGTTCTGTAAAAGTGTCCTGAATCGGGTCTTTTAAGTCTCTTTACTGTGATCACCAATCCTCATAACATTTTCAGAAGTGTTCTGATGAGTTTCATCGCCAGCTCTGCTTTGCCTTCTGACCACATTTCTTGCTCCAGCAATTCTGTTTTAGTAATGGGAACATGAACCTTTCTTCGGAATCTGCGTTAGAAGCTAGTCTCCAACGTACTTCCTTTCATACTCTTACATTCCTCTACCTAGTAAATTGATTTATAGAGAACACCAATATTATAAATCCAGGTTTTAAGGAAATAAATTAGATAGTAGTTGTCTTCAACCAGGAGAGGCTTAGGCCAGTGTTGCATGCATTCCCTCCCCCCGACCGCGGCCC